GTCGAACGAAAGGGAAGGTATCTGAAAGGTGAGTGTGAACACTCTGATGCGATGTGAGACAGGACAATTAGAACTCACCTATAGCACCCCTCCCACAATATCTATTCCATCATTAGGTTATGGAGGTGTTCGTTCATCTGCACGAAGCTGAAGTTGGGTGAGACTGGTAAAGAGCGACATGCATAGAGGCACAAATATCAGTGACACTTCTGTCCAGCCAGCACTCCCACTGCAACTAGCAGCAGTGGCTGCATGCTGACCATAGCAAAGGCAGTAGACTCACTCACATCGGTTGATGTCTGCCTCCCCTGCTCCTACATCAAAAACCTCCCCTTTTAGCATGTTGGCCGCACTGCTGCTCATCGAAAGCGACGACACTGGCGTCAATGGTCGCACGCTGCACCCAGCTGCAATGTCATACATGACATGTCTGCACTGTCCATAACTGTCATCCACCGCACTGTATGCAAGGTTCGCCTGCAATGGGTTGAAGCCGTACCTGTCAGTCAAAGGCAGCCGGGTCATGCTGCGCATGTGCTGGATCCTGCCCAGATGTTCATCTGGCTGAGGTGAGCTCGATGGATGCTCTGACCTGGCTGACAAGGGTGAAGTTGGCAGATGGTGCTGGGGTGGTCGAACGAGGGGAGAAAATGTCTGGAAGGTAAGTGTATGTGCCCTGGGGTGATGCGCAATGCTGGGTGATTGCGACTCACCTGGGGCACCAGTCCCAGAATCTCCTGACAACCCGTCCTTCTCCTGTGGTGTCGCCTCACTGGGTCACCATCTCTTGCATGTATCTGCATTCTTGTGAGCTGTGAAGATCAGACAACAGAGTGGGCGACGGATGGAGCAGATCTGCATGATTGGTGCATTGCATTAGGGGCTGGGAAGGTGGTGGTGGCGAACAGAGAATGCAGCCCGTTCGCATGCCATGGTGGTGGAGAAGGTTAGATGGGTAGCCACCAGAAGCCATGAAACCAGCAGATGCCAGAGACCTCACACCTGCATGTGGGTCCATTGGGTGTTGCAGGTTGTTGATGAGCTCCGGACCTTGGGCAGCAGGACTGACCTGAGGACGTGGGCTGCCTACTCCATGCTGAGCATCCGAATGCTGCCTGGCCAGTGTGCATTTGCAGATGATAGTAGTGTCAGTAAGCATCTTGTGCTGCTCATGAGACAAGGCTCTCAGTGGTGGCTGAGACAAGGCCTTGAGATGGTCTGAAGCATCAAGATTGCCATGCTCAGCACCCTTCAAAGGGCTTCAGTGAATCAGCTCGCAAGTGCAGCGCAATGTAAGCAGGATAACATACTCTGGTACACCACTTCTGAGCCACTTCAATGTTCTTCGGATGACCCACACCCACCTCGATATAGTAGCCCATCGTAAACTCAGCACTTGGGAGGCCCTTTCTCACCACCTTTCAACAAACGTCCATGCCAGCACTTC